GATTGCACAATTTTATTGCTGTTCTCTGCAGAGCTCTGGGACTGTGTTCATTACCATGGTAACTAGTGTGAAACATCCAATAGAGCGAGCACGCAGAAATGATTCTCTTACATAAACACAAAAATAGAGTAAATTGAACACTAAGTCTCATCTGAAGAAGCGGTAGAGGTTTATACTGGAATTCATCTTCTCAGAGGAATCTGAACCGGAGTTTAAGTAGAGTGTGGGGAATAGAGACTAATCCCAAACTATTTCTCCATTGTTTGACCTTTTCTGCTAGAATGATTGTCCTCATGATCTGATGAAAAGGGACATTTTTTCTTTAATAAGGACAATACTAGAAAGCTGCCTGTAATCGGATTAGAGTCAAAAGATGCATTCTGGGATAATGTGAGCTCACACCTCCTCTGTTTTGCAAGGGTGGTCTCTAAATGAAGTGACTGTGTGGAAAGCACGCTGACATTTGCTCAGCATGGCCATGGGAAGAAGAGAAAGACCAAATTAACATATTTACCTCAGGGAGGTAAATATGTTAATTTGGGTCACAGACTCTTTGCACCATGATCATGATTTAGAAGGTACACGTACCCTTTCTTGTTCCTCCCATCTCACACTAATCACAGGAAACAGGTTCAATATGGTCTCTCATACATTTATTTATATTCCAATGGTAACTTAGGCAACTTCCCCATCTTGTAATCATGTAAATCCTTACTGATATAATAATCCACTTATTACCTAACTGAGGGTAATGGCTGTAATCCATAGCCTCAATAAAAGGGATAGCAAGGCCAGAGCCTAGCGGTAGTCTTCCCACTAGAGGTTGACTCCTGCCTGGTCCCCCATTTGTTCCAAATTAACTCTTTTCTAGTCTCTCTCTTCATTTTAGTGTGCGGCCTCCTCCAGAAACCGGACCCTGAGTGGGCCCTAATTGGGGAACTACTGAATGCACAGTGAGTTCCATAAACTGAACACTGATTTTGAAAGGAGACATTGTCAAAGTCTTCTAAACTGTTGCCCTTTCCCGCACTGCACTGGTAAACCAGCTACATTTAGCAGAACTGACAGAACACAGGTTTCCCCAGGCAACGTAGGCAGAATGTATCTTTCAAGTCTTTAAGAATTCAGTCCTGTCCTCAGATGTTTTGTGGAAGGTGAGAAAAATTAAAATGTCAGAGGAAGGAAAACTGCCAACGAGCCAGGAAGTGATTTCAATGTGTCTTGGATCATCTAGAGAAGCCTTGGGCGATGCAGATTGTTATGCAATAATCAAGCTCCCAAAAACTAAGGAAGAAAAAGCTGTAATAGATATGACTAACCATGCATGAGTGAATCACAACACTTCTGTAATGTGTTGTTTATTCTAACATATTCACATTTTGCATTTATTTAATACCTAGTGTTTTAGAAGTCATTTAGGTGGTTAAGCTTGAGAGAAAGGTCCATGAAGAGTTTATTCTGATATTACTAACATAATTACATACATATGTGTATACACATATATGAGACTGTACACTATTTCCAAAATATTTGGAAGATATAAAATGTGTGTACATGTTTAGGAATCTAGAAGTAAGAAGCTATGACAGAGAATCATTAGCTAGACCAGAAATAATGAAATAAGTATGGAGAACTATCATAAATGAATAAAAATCTATTCAATAGACTATCAGTAAAGAAAGCATACTGTCTTATTACTGAACACAGGTAGTAAATGGAACAAAATATAATTTTAATGAAATACCATTGAAAAGAGTTCTATAGGGAAGCTGTTATATAATGCCTCATTTTTACTTGTAATTATGTCAGTGCTTTAATATGTAAATATAAATAGGTATATCTAATGCCACAGAGGGAGTTGAAAAAAGGTTGCTACCTTTAAAAATATAATCTAAAAAAATAATAAAATAAAAATATAATCTAAATTATAATTCTTTGGTAATTTTGATTATATGTCATATGTATAATCATAAATCATATATATGTATATATGTGTGTATATATATATGTATGTATATATATATATGGAAAATTTGAAACTATTCATTTCAGAACATCTGCATTAATGCAATTTGTCATTTATACTATTCATAAACTCTGTGAAAAAAATCTCTGATGCTGGGTAACAACATTATAGTTTCATGGATTATTATCAGACCACAATTATATTCTGAAAGTGGAATAATTAACTTCATTTAATAAGAAGGGGGATACCTTTATTTCTGACAAGAATTTAGAATTACTTCCTTCCAAAGTCATCATAAATAATGTCGATCACTTATTTAGAGGTTATACACTGTCCCTCACCCTCCCAGAGAAGAGAACTAGAGGAAGTAAGAAACTGCATTGTGGGGGATTTAGGAAAGGCATTTATCTTCTGTAGGATAATAATTGGGCTCTATAGATTGACAGGCCAATGATAGGCTTATAAATAAAAGTAATTTCCTATCCTTCAAATCTATGTTTCTGTAGAAACACAAAGCATATATGTCCTCTGAAATTATTTTCTACTCAGACTCATCTAAGATCTGTCCTCTTTTATTGAGAGAAGGGATTATCAAAATGGGAAAGTCTAAAAATAGTGATTTATAATTGAAAGCCTAATTCTTTCTTAATTATAGGTATGCTACAGTGGCACTCTATAATTAGGGACAATCAGCAGCTCCAAAGTGAGTCAGGCTTTATCATTCACTCTGTACAAGGATGTATATGAGTTCCATAGCAGAAAACCCTGAGAGATAAAGATTCAGCCTCTTTTTCCTCACACCTCTTGATGGTTACAAGATTGCCTTTTACTTACACTCTCTCCAGCAGAACAAAGAATATCATTCTTTTTTTTTTTACTGATTACCACTGATGGGAATGTGTAGTTTTTAAGGTTAAAATTTTAAAACTTAAATTGGAATTCTAAAACTAATGCACACTAAATCTACTACTAAATTAATATTAATATAGCAGTTTGTTATACTATTATTTAACTGAAAATACTTTAGGCTTAAATTGAGTAATTGATGTCACACGCAGATAAAAAAGATAGATCTCTATAAACAAGATGAAATACCCATCTTATAATTTGATAGAAGATATTAGGAGACATTAGTTAACATCAAGAAAAAAAAACACTAAAAGTTTAGAATTCTGTTTTAATCTCTAAATTGCCAAAATTGTTTTTTCATTACTTTGCTATTTATATATCTTTTATTAGCCAATTACCCAACTTCTCAAATCAATTTCTCCAAAGGCTAAATCCAAAGCTTTTACTGTGGTAAATACAGAAATTGGCTTGATAAACTCTGTGATAGTACAAAACTGGAAATAAAATAATAAAATCCTAGTCATAAACAGTATCTAAGAAGGAGAAAGCTATAGATCAAGCCAAAATAAGCCATATCAGGAACATAAGATAACTGTTAGAACTTTAAATATTAGCTGATGGTAAAAATGGTGAAAGTTTTTTTTCTTCTGTGTTAGGTGTTAATCAGGCAGGCAGGGAGTGGTTAGGGGGCAATCAGGCAGCCAGGCAGGTGAGTGATTAGGAGCCAGCAGTCCCAGATTGGAGAGAGCTCAGTCTAGGCTGAGGAACATTACCCCATTCACAAATTTTGTGCACCAGGCCTCTGATAGTATGATAAAATAAAATTACGCCAACATCAGGTTATTGGGTTTGTCTTATAAACATATCATAAGGCCACCAATTTTTTCAAAGGTAAAATACATTATAATTATACTGTGCATTTTAAAAAAGCTGGAGGCTGCCGAAACCAGTTTGGCTCAATGGATAGAGCGTCGGCCTGCGGACTGAAAGGTCCCAGGTTCGATTCCGGTCAAGGGCATGTACCTTGGTTGTGGGCACATCCCCAGTAGGGGGTGTGCAAGAGGCAGCTGGTCGATGTTTCTCTCTCATCGATGTTTCTAACTCTCTATCCCTCTCTCTTCCTCTCTGTAAAAAATCAATAAAATATATTTTAAAAAGCTGGAGGCTTTTGCTAGCCTTTTCTTGGAGCATTTGACGGAAAATTCAGAATTTTCACATATATACACAATCTGTTTTCTGACATAAAAATAGCATAACTGATTTAAAAGTGAATTTTTAGTTGTAAACTGTATGATAAATGACCATTCATACTTAAAATCAAACAAAAAACCATTGTTTTAAAAATAAATGTTAATTTATACTTAACTGTACTTTTGCTCCAATTTTATTCCAAAATTGCAATCAAACTTTATAAAACTAATATTTCATTGCAATATTGTATTTCTATCCAAATAAGTGAGGAATCAGAAAATAGACAGAGGCAGAGCTAAGGATAGGAATAGGGAAAGGAGGGGAGTAGGGGCAAAGACAAGAATGTGAACAGAATGGAAGGAGACTGGACCTGGGGTGGTAAACACACAATACAATATACAGATGATGCTTTGTAGAAGTGTACACCTAAAACTTATTAGCATTTTAACCAACTAGAGGCCCGGGGCATGAAAGTAGTGCACTGGGGTGCGGGTTGGGGGTCCCTTAGCCTGGCCTGTACCCTCTCACAGTCCTGGTCCCCTCTGGGAATTTCTGCCTGCCAGCTTAGGCCCACTCCCCTTGCTCCTTACTGCCCAGCTGCTCACTGCTCCTTACTGCTGCCATAGAGGTGGGAGAGGTTCCCAGCATTGCTGCAGCACTCACCAGCCATGAGCCCGGCTTCTGGCTGGGCAGCACTCCCACTCTGGGAGTGCACTGACCACCAGGGGGCAGCTCCTGCATTGAGCATCTGCCCCTTCATGGTCAGTGCACATCATAGAGAAGGGTTGTGCTGGTCATTCTGCCATATGGTCACTTAGGCTTTTATTATATAGATGTCACCCAATAAACTCAATAACAAAAGGAATGAAAATGGAGTTAGAGACAGAGGTGGAATTTACTTTCACATAGTACCTTTATATAGACTTTGAGAGGAGGCAAAGAGGGACAAAGTTGAAATAGATTAAGTTTTAAGAATAAAAGCAGTATCTCTTACCCTGAAAAACTCTTTAGTGGAGCCAGAGTCTAATGTTCCATAAGCAATTTCTGTTTGCTTAGAAAGATCTTCAGCACTTTCGATGGGAGACACCATCCTCTCTACAGTCAGGAAGGCAGCTAAGTTAGCCGTGTAGGAGGAGATTATGATCAGGGTAAAGAACCACCACACACCTCCAACAATGCGCCCAGAGAGGGATCTAATAACAAGTATGAAATGGATTTATAAAGTGAAATGAATGACCTAATAAAAAAACAAGTTAGCAGTATTATGCACATATTAACTTACAGGGAAATAATTGATACTTTTCAATATATCTGCACCTTAATGAAACTGGAAATTATTAAACATTCTGGGTAAGGAATACAGATTAACCAGATTTGGTGAAGTACCCAGAAGCAAAAACTTTCAGATTCCTGAGATTCTTTCATAGTTATCATGCCCAGATTGTCTGTGGTATGAAATCTCCTAACAAAGCAAATTCAAGAAATGTGCAAATAATCCATTCATTGCTCTTTCTACTTTATCCACTCATAGCATAAGCAAACATGTCTTTCTACTTTATCCACTCATGGCATAAGCAAACATTAATAAGAGAATCTAAGATCACACAACAATATTCAGAACAATATTGACAACCAACCAAATGTTAAAAATAAGAGTATACAACATAGACATAGCATTAAACACTGGAAAAACCCTCCCTTTGATTCAGCCAATGAAGCTCCAATACCCTCCAACAAATAAAGATCCAAAATTTCATTAGTTTTTTGTTTGTGCCAAAATGTGGGTTTTAGATGCAGTATAGATTGTAAATGAAAAAAAAATGTTAACTACAAAACAAAGGTATGAAACAAAATATAATTTTAAATGAATAAAAATCAGATGTTTCATGGCATGGACGGTTATCACCCTGTTCCTCTGTGGCTCCTGCTCAAGAAAAGAAAGCTCAAGGACAACAAATTAGACACAAATTTTTGCCAAGATATAAAATCTTAATGGCCATGAAATCTTACATGAAATATTTTTAAAAAGCTTAATAGTTTCCCAATAATTTACTTTAAACAATGTGTGTGTGTGTGTGTACTATGCTATTTTAAAAGATTTGGTGGGATTCTACATAATAAAGGCATTTAAATAATACTAACAAAGGTAGCTTTTTTGCTAACTGCTGTGTCTCAAATTTTGATTTGCTACAGAGAAGAGGAAACACTTCTAAAAAATGTAAATCACAAAAATTTGGCAACTTATGACCTAAATCAAACTTTCTTCAATTAACAGTAAGAAATATACTTCCTGATGAATCACAGATACTATATCTAATTAGTGGATATTTGTAGAATAAACTCAAGCAGTCAAAGAAAAGAGGGAGAGCTAATTTAAAACTAATATTTTTTTAAGATAAAAAGCAGTTGTTGCTCAAATAAAAAAGGAGAGAGGGAGAAAGCAGTGAAAAACAAAAAAGAATGAAATTAAGAGCCTTTATAACAGTCTCAAAGAGATGCAAATAATTAAATAGCCATAACCAGTTTGGCTTAGAGGATAGAGCATGGCCTTGAGGACCAAAGGGTCCTGGGTTTGATTCTGGTCAAGGGCATGTACCTGAGTTGCAGGCATCTCCCTGTCTTGGGCCCTGGTCAGGCTACTGCAGGAAGCAAAACAATCAATGTGTTTCTCACATCGTTATTTCTCTCTTGTCTTTCCCTCTCTCCTTCATTCTCTCTAAAAATCAATGGAAAAAATATCCTTGGGTGAGGATTAAAATAAATAAATATGACAGGATGAAAAGTTAAACACTCCTCACTTATATTCTGAAAGGATATTAAATATACTTTAAATTTGGGAAACCTCTTATGTAGACATAAGTACTCTCAAAATGTTCACTATTTATCCACAACAATGGAAGATATAATTATATGGCATGTAGCCTGAATTTAAGAGGGCAGATTCTGTACCTTACTGCTCAAACCCCTTAAAACGAAACCAATTACATGGTAATTGTTTTTAACATTATACATTGCATGTTAATTTGCAATATATTTGAGAATCATTTTTATAAATTATTCTCTTCCAGTTGTAAAATAAACATAAGATAAAGACATAAGTTATTCTCTAATTCAGTGATTAAGCCTTGTTAATAGGATGAAATATGCTAATTTATACAAAGTGTACCAAATAAAAAACTTACTAGACTTATACATCATTCAAATAGAAATTCTTGAACATTTTATTGTTTACTGGTTAGTGTTTTCAAAGGATCAATTGATATTTTTGAGAGTTCCTGAAAAATTTTATGCAGAGGGCAAATTCAATTTTATGTGTTATGGTAACAAAGAGTTTTCCTAATTAATTACAAAATTGAACCTCTTAACACCTGCACTAAAGGAACCAATAAATGCATATATTCTAACATTTTTTTTATTCTCTATTAAATATTTTTAAATGGCAATATGTTTAATTCATTTAAATCCTAGAGATGGGATAGGGGAAGAGAAACAGGAAAATAAAAAGCCAACTCCTGAGCATTTTGCTCTCATGATTTCTGTAGTTCTAGTCTTCAGAAAATTATAATTAACATATTCCAAACTTGATTTCAGGAAAGTGACCAATTCAATTCAATAAATCACTCCAGATTAAAATTTAAATGTTTCATTAATATTAATAATATAGTTCCATAGCAGATGTTTCTTGGAAGGAAATGATAAATATCTTTTAAGATATTTAAAGAGCATCTCTAAAGTGATCTGTGCATTTCATGTATTATTATGATGACAATTTTAGATGTTAGGCTGCTCTATTTTCTAAACTGGAGTAAGTAATGATCACTGCATTTTAAATAAAGATAATTTGGTTCATTTAAAGTCACTAAATTTGCCAATATTATGTAATACATCCAATTTTTTAGTGCACATTGAACATAAGATTAAATAGATATGCTTAAAATCTTTAATAAGTGAATTTGTCCATGTATTTTTATAGCAAAAAGAAATCAATTAAAAACAAGGAAAAAAACACTATATAAAATATATCTTACCAGAAAATAAAAATTATAACATGTGAATTTGCAATAAAATCAGAAGTGCACAACAAAAATCATGTTCTAGAAAGCAGGCTTGTTGAAAATTAGAAGCTGTCTATATGTCATGGTGGGCCCTGGCATAACATGGATTGTTAGATGTACCCTGTGCTCCAGACCCCAGGTGTAAATATGTTTTATGCTCGTTGATGAGGACTGGACACCAAAATAGCTTCCTTCAAAGCCATGATGGACATGGAGCAGGGTCCATCTATGGGGAGCTAGGTCAGCATATCCTATTCCATAATAACCTTGCTACACTTCTCCATACTAACACATAAGGCAGAGCATAGTTTATGTCACTCTAAGATCATTGCCTTATGTCTCAGGAGTAGGGTAATATGCTTCAGTAGCCTTTTTACAAAAAATGCATCATTTTTCTCTTGATGTCTTCATCTTACATCTGATAATAATTAAAACTAAATATAGTTAAAACTATGAATTCTACATATCTTATCAGATATCATCAGAAATGGCATATGTGTGTGTGTGTATGCCATAAAAATACATTGGCACGTTACTAATTTAATGTAGTTCTACAGAATAGCCATAAGAAATATGATTGAATTAAGATTGTTTATATCAATATATTTCATAAAAATTTACCTACTATTAGAAAAGTAAGCAATTGATTATTTTTGGGTACATTATATTTTCTTTATCTCACTAGGTGAAGTATAAAATAAAAATTGCAAAACATACAGATTTTTTAGCTTCTCATATATTTTTTAAGTTAATTACTTATTTTCCCCAAAGTGCCAAAAAAATTAATATAATTAGTTTTAGAAGAGTCACCCTGCTACCTAGTTATTAAAATATCCCATAGAATAAGAGGAAGGTAATCAAACCCAATTTAAAATATGTCAAAGCTAATCATTTAGGCTTTAAATATGAAAGCAAGTACACTAGAAATGGTATGATTTGTTCTTCAGAAGAGCAAAATATGTCTGTCATTTTTATTCCATGTATATAACATGAACAAAAGCGATATATGTTTTGTTATATACCCATCATATTTAGGCATTCTAAAGTAGGAATTAGCATATCATAATGAGAAGTATATACACAAATTTCTCCCACGATGTATATATTGCCATTTGATTATTATTCAATCATGTGTTCCTAAATATTTGTAAAATGTTTTTAAATTCAGCAACCTAACCTTAAAAGAAGAAAATTTTATAATCTTTCCACACTCTTTCAATGAGCTTATGATGGGAAAATAAAATAGATGGGATGTGTGCCAATGAAGTTTTGTAAAGAAGCTCTTGCTTTTATAGTTTACATGTAATATTGCCCATTTTCCCATATACAGGTCTGTGGATCAACACACAGATGACTGTAAAATGAGAATATGCAGCAAAAACACGGTACCCCTCCAAGAAGGCATGGAATGTAGGAACCTTATGCATTTTACAGCCTCTCCATGATGTGTATACTTTCACCAGGGAAATATAAGGTCAACATTCAAAGAACGTTGCTCAAATATTTCACAGGCTTATGCCGATGTTAAATATCTGTCCTTGAGTCTTAAACTGCTTGGACAGGTAGTCGGCAGCTGTTAATTTTGTGAGTGAATTTATAAACACCATGAATGCCTGCATGAGACCTAAAATGCACAAAGTTGAAGCAGGTGAGTAACCAACCTTGGCGAAATATCGCATCCTTGCTGCATAAAGGCACCCAAGGAAAACCAGAGACTATTAAAAATCCCAAATTCATTAGTTGATTCACTACTTTGTGTTTCTCTTCCATCTTCAAACTCCTCAGTGTGCCACTCGTAGGGGCTAAATCTGCTGACCAGGAATAAAACTACACTGACCCCAATGTAGGCAAAAACAATGCACATCCAGATTTCATAGGCTAAAGGATCAAGAAATGAAAACACTCCTGGTTTGGACTTCTGAGGCTTCTTGATCATGATAGAGATCCCGAGGCTCATAAAGGGCTTTGAGAAGTCAATCACCTCTTCTCTCACAAGGGTGATAGTTAATGGCGCAATTGCAATATCAGCTTTCTGTAAGGAAAACAAAGGAAAGTAATAGTACCCAGAGTCATGGTCAGAAAGGAATCATGGTTATATTATTGGATCAAAAGGGAAGGAAATCAAGGACATGGTCATAATTATTGTATTTCCCTGGTAGATTCCCAGTAACGAATAAACAACAACAAAAAAAGCAATTGGTTCCACAGATAATCCCTCCTTTTGATAAATACATAGTACACCCATCTGGGTTGATTATGCTAATTCCATCTTTACACTGCATCTGGGCCTTTGCCACCTTTGCACAGCATATGGCCCAGAGGCTTCAAGACAGATGAAATGCCTGTCTCACTTAACCTGCATGTTTTCTTCTAACTTCATTTTTAATCTTCAAATGTTCACAAGGAAATAAGATAGCATTCTTAAGAGTAAAGTGGGAAAACCAATAACCTCAGACAAAGGTATTTTGAAGTGAGGAAGGCATTCCGTCAACAACAGTTCAAATTGAATCACTTTTTATGAGAAGAGCTATACTTACCCCATAGACAAGTTCTCCAACCATCCCATTCCAAATTTTCGTGTCTGCATCCCTGGCCCCATACTTGCCATCCCCAACAATTGTCAGCTTGTACTTGAACCCACAATGTTTGGCTATTTCTGCAGCTAAGTCAACACAGTAGCCCTCATAACGTTCATTGCCATCAAGCATTTCATGATTTTTCTTCATCATAACATAAGGAGATTCCTATATGGAGAGACAGTGCTTTAGTTGATTAAAATGGCTTTGTTATTTACTCTCTGAAACACATTTTCTGGTTTAATAATTAACCCTTAGCCAGAGACATTGTGGAATCCTATATAATAAAGAGCTAGTATGCTAATTAGACTGGACAGCGAAATGATCTTCCAGAACGACCAATGGGCAGGGGTTGGAGGAGGTTGGGGGTAGCAGGACCGAGAGGCAGCCAAGGCTGTGAGAGCCATGCTCCTTTCATGAATTTCATCCATTGGGCATCTAGTATAGAAGAAAAGATTAAACATAATCCTTCTGAAAAAAGTCCTCAAATATCTATAATTACATTTCAATAGCATGTCTTGTATCTAGCCATACAAAAGTAAACAAGAGACTCAAAAGCACAAACTGTTGGCATGCCCCTTGTCTTGTCTGTATTCCTAGGGTTTAGAAAGCAATAATTCTGCTCAAGGGCTATTTCATTCAACTCTGGATCCACTACACTCTTATTCTTTGTGAAGGATATGACGACCCCTAGAACCACTATTCACCCCAAACCCTATTATACTATTATAATACTTCAAGCAAAGGGTTCAAGCATGGCCAGTGACATACAGACTGAAAAGATCATCACCATGGTGAAGTTCTAATTCTACCCTCTCACATTTTAGGTCTTGCTTCATCTATGAGATATGATATCCTAGAATGATGCTACAAGGATAGCTAGTAGCTTCTCCCTGCAAACATAGAAAATAGGAAGCATGAAAAAATGATTCAGCATAGCCCACAATTTTCTACTGAAAAGTGGCACCAAGGATACATGGGGTCTCAGTGAGGTGGTTCCTCTCAATGGCATGATTAAGGCAAAAATATGCAAATGTGTAGCTTAGACTTATTAAGATATTTCTAATGCCAGCCAATGTTTTTATCCAAATCCTTGTTAGCCTTTTTATATGTCTTCCTCAGTATTGTTAGGCTAATGATTCCCACAAAATCCTATATCCAACTACCATGTTGAGACTTGGAGTTTAAGAAGAAGGGAGAACCATTTTACCAAGTTGGCAACATTATTAAAACTTGTAAGAAATGTAAAGATAAGATATACCCACAATTGTATGGAAATGGAAAAGTTAAAGCACCTGAGCAAATACAAGTCACGCTCCTTAAGATTTTACCCAGTTGTAAAATCTGAGCTATGCTCCAAGTTATGAATTACTTGTAAACCTAAGAGGTAGTTTAATGCTTTAGTTAGTGCTTGTGTAGTCCTTTTACAAGAGTAAATATCCAATCAGTGATTAAAACATTGAAAAAGCAGCACTATGATAGTTATTGCCCTAAAACATAATAAGCAATTCTATCTGGCACATACTTTTGATAAGAAAAATAAGGTATAACATAGGATTATGTAGCTAATTACCAAAATTGTAGTGACAACCACAGTCTTATTCTCAAGCCCAGAGGTATCATTTCCAGAAGGTAGCTCAGTAAGGGTGACAACCATTTTGTCCACTTCACTCCAGTATCCAATCTGAAAAAGGTTACAGAAAGCAGGCAAATGGATAAATGACTTTTTTTTTTTATTAGCAAAGCATTGAATTATCTTCTAATTGATGCCTGAATCTGAAGTTATCCTATATCAATGAGGCTTCTTCTAAACACTAATGTGTCTTTGATATATGTGAATCTAATAGGAACAGAAAGGGATTATAAAACAAACAGAAACTATTCTTAAAAGCAATTCGTCTTTTTATGTTCACTTGTCATATTCACCAAGGATCATTTGTTTGGGAGTGATCATACAGAAATATTAAGTAAAGTCCAAAAAATGGCATTTTGGCCATAAAAGTAAAATAATATATATTGAACAGTAGTGGTTATGTTTTGTCTTCTGAATCGTGAACTTTCAGAAAGTTTTTTTTCTTCTCAGCTATTTAAAGATTACATTTCAGTATTACTTACCAGAAGTGAATAGATTTGAAATAGGAAAAAAAAAAACACATTTAAAAATATGTCTGGTTCTGGAAGTTGTTAAGCAATATGTGAAGATACAACTTCAGGACTGTTTGGGAGATGAGGGGATGGGTTAGCTAACTCACCTTCTCACACAGAGAGAACTGCCTTTAAATAACTAATGATTTACCTTTCGGGGCCCATTTGTTTTGAGCTCCATGATGTTAATTGTATAGTTTATTCTCTTTCCATTCTGGTCAAACTTTATATTTCCTGAGAGACCTTCAACCTGAACCTAATAAGGAAATGGGAAGGGAGCACAGTTAAAAATTTACTTCAACCAAAGATACACACTGTACACATTACTATCACTGGGATCAAGTCCAGAAAACTACATTTATAAGGTTTCTTTTCAACCTCCCACCTACCTTTGTGTAGATAGGAAAGAATACTCCCTCTATATTAAACATAAGGAATAAAAGAAGGATGACTGATTCAGCAGAGAAAAAAATGATAGCCATGGTTACATCACATGAACAATTGTGATGAGTGACTGACCTGTTTGAGCGCCCTTTCTATTTCTACACCTTGTCCCCAGGGGACTGCTGGGTTGGCCAGACAGTCTCCTGCATTCCCCCTTCGGGAGATTTCAATTCTCTGCTTCCGAAGGTTGCGGAAAGCTTCAGTCATCACTTGAACGGCATCATAGGTCAGAGCAGAAGTATACTGGAAAATATCACACACATTTCATGAGAATGGAAGAAAATTCAAACTCATTACCATCAAGAATGTAGATGCCCACCATACAATACTATATCAAGTCCAAGAATTCAGACACTGTCTGTGCATCTAGAAACTTAAGAATCTAAGAGAAGTGGTATAAAATATTGGGACTGTGGAAAGCATCTTGATGTACAACTTTTTCTATTAATACTAGAGGCCTGGTGCATGGAATTCGTATGCAGATATGATCCCTAGACTTGGCCTGTGATCAGGCCATCTTCCCCAGCTGCCTGCAGCTGGCCCCACCCTCTGTCACCACCCACCCCTGGTTCCCTGTTTGCCATTGGATGATTAGTGCCTGACAGCCAGGGGAAGGAACCGAGAGGTTGGCTGTTCCTGCCTGCTCGCATGCCATGTCCCAGCCATAGGTGGCCATCAGGCAATCAGAGCCTATCAGCTGGAGAAAAGGACCAAGAGGTAGAAGTCAGTGCACCTCATAGTGACTGCTCCATCAGTCATTCTGCCCTTAGGGTCAATTTACATATTACCCTTTTATTACATAAGATAGAGGCCTTGTGCATGGATGGGAGCTGGCTGGCCTGATCTGAAGGGGGTCCCAGATCAGAGTGGGGGGGGTCCCTGCTGATGGGTGGGGCTGGCCAGGGTAAGTGGCCACCGGGGGTTGCAGGCTTGCCATGCCCCCAATTGGGGTGCAGGTCCCTGCTGGGAGGCAGGGCTGGACTGGGTGAGGGGCTCCACCACACCCCCAGCTTTGTCAGGAAGGACGTCCAGAAGACGTCTCATCTATCCAATCTAATTAGCATATTACCCTTTTATAAGTATAGATGTCAGTTATTTCAGCTGACACCTTTTATAATGATTATGCCAATGTTTTTGTCTTTTTCTAATCATTTTCTTATTAGAGTACCACTTTATGGTCTACTCTGGTGATACAGAAAATTCAAATCAATAACTGTTTCTCCACTGTCTACTGAGAATTTCATGTGAGAATAAGGAAAACATACTGATCAGTTTCACGATTCTTCATCTCTAAACAACCTTACTAATGCTCATGTAGACCTGCAATGGACTTGGGAGTATTTGTTTCTAATTTCCCCTAAATGTTTATGGTAATCAAGATGAACTACCACCAAACTTCATAATTTCTATGCCCCCTTTATGCTTCAACAATGTATGGTAACATTGGTTCCAAACCATGATATTTAGATCCCATTGGTACAGCAAGGTTATTGCAGCTGCTAAGAACCAAGCAAGAAAAAAACAAAACAACAAAACTACATGTGTATTAAACATTGCCTATATTATTATGTGAACACTAGAGGCCTGATAAATTAAATTCATGCAAGGGGCTCAGCCCTGACAGCAGCAGAGACTACCTCAGTCCTCACAGCCCTGGCTTAGTCCAGAAGGTCATCTGGACAGTAATTCCGCTGTCTGGCCATCCAGTCTAATTAGCATATTATGCTTTTATTATTATAGGTCTATATATTGCCATCCATCAAATGTATAATGCTGCTACCAGTAATAATAAATCACATCCTATATAATAAAGCTTAATATGCTAAGTGTCCAATTGACTTGTCAGCCATTCAACCAATCAAAGCATAATATGCTAATGATATGTTAAGGGCACTCAACTGCTCACTATGATGTGCACTGATCACTAGGAAGCAGATTATCTGACTGGTAGGTTAGCTTGCTGCTGGGGTCTGGCAAATGGGGACTGAACTAAATGGGCAGTACATGCCCTGGAGCCCTCCTTCAGCCCTCCTGGTTGGCCAAACTCCTGAGCCCCTTCCAGGCCCCAAGTGGGTTAGCTTGGTCTGGCCTGTGCCCTCTCGCAATTCTGGACCCCTCAGGGGATGTTGGAGAGCTGGTTTCTGCCTAATCCCACAGGGCAGCCGAGGGACTCCACTGGTGCATGAATCCATGCACCAGGCCTATAGTTTTAACATAAAAGCTTTAAGGAATGCCAAGGAAATTTCTGTTAGTGAATCTTTTTCAATCTGCAGGTAACATAAGTACAGTGAAGCCAAGGGGCAGGGGGGAGTACATTATCATACTGACTTTGTGACATTCTAAAATTCTTAACCATGAGTTCAAAAATGAGCACTTAATGTTTCTAAATCATCCTCTTTTCTTTAATGACTTAGTTCTTCTACTCTCAAAAATGACTACAGTATTTTATAACTTCTTTTATCTTTACAAATACCCATGCCTCTATATACTTTTTTTTGCTCTGAATTCTTGCTGATTATCTTGCCCAACATGATGATAAATATAAACCATCAGACAAAATCCCCTTATATGTCAACCTAACATGACCCAGCTCCACATTATCTGCTTCCCTTGAGTTGACATATGAAGTAACAACATTCCTACATCAGGACAGCTACTCCAACAGTGCACTCACTCCCTCCCTCTGATCTTAAGCACTCCCCCCACCCCCAACCCTGCCACTACACCCTCAATATCCTATATAAGCCTTTTTACTCTCTTTGGGTCATCTCTATGACCAAATAAACTGCTCTGTTAGGCTCAGTCAATGAAAGAGCCATGAAGTTAAATTGCATGCATATGCTCAAACATTACTTCCTTAGTGATGCTCTTCTTGTCTAATCCACTCCCAGTCATTCTTCACATGATCTTGTTAATTCTCTTATAGCAACCATCTGAGTATCCTGTTCATGAATTATTCATTTGTCTCCTTCATCTCTCTTTCATACTAGATGTTTCCTTACTCTAAGGAAGCAGAAAACTTGTCTGATTTGTCTGTCACCACTGAATTCTGAGAGTCCAGGGCAGCACTGAGCACATGGAAGGAAGGAGGGAGGGTGGGAGGGAAGAAAGGAAGGAAGGAAAGGAATGAAGGAAGGAAGGAAAGGAAGGAAAGGAAGGAAGGAAGGAAGGAAGGAAGGAAGGAAGGAAGGAAGGAAGGAAGGAAGGAGGGAAGGAGGGAAGGAGGGAAGGAGGGAAGGAGGGAAGGAGGGAGGGAGGGAGAATTTAAAGGAAGGTCAGAGATCTTCACATGGTCCCCCTCTTTATGGCACTCATATTATCACCAAGTCTAGTAAAAATATATATAGATGGGCAACTACAATAAATCTATCATAGTATTACTAGAGGCCCAGTGATTAAAATTTGCACATGGGTAGGGTCCTTGGCCTGGTAGACAATCAAGGCCAAATGGGGCCTTCCTTCATTCTGTGCCACCCCCTGAAGGTCAACGCATATCATAGCAAGCAATTGAACTCCTGGTCTCCTAGTCAAACTCTCGTGGAGACAGTTTGCATACACACACACACACACACACACACACACACACACACACACACATATATATATATATATATATATATATACACATATATATATATATGTGTATATATATATATATATATATATATATATATATATATATATATATATATATCTACTGTCATTCCAACACAAAAGATGGCTGCCCCCATGTGGACACAAGATGGCCACCCCAAGATGGCCAGCAGGGGAGGGCAGTTGGGAGGGATCATGCCTGCAAGGGAGAGCAGTTGGGACTGATCAGGATGGGGATTCCCGGGGTGTCCCGGATCAGGATGGGGATTTCCTTGGAGCCTGGGGCAGCCTGAGCAAGGGACCTGTGGGGTTTGCAGGCTGGACATGCCCCCCAGTGACCCAAGTGGAGGTCCTAGATATAGATATATAGATATATACACGAATTGGTCTGATGGTGAATAGTTGTCTTATTTGCTTTTTTTAAATATGAAAGATGTTACACTAAGGCAAATGAGAAAATAATTTGTTATAAATTATCCCCTCCATGTATCCAGAAAGTTTTTAATTTTTTTCATTTATAATTTATATTCAGTATTATTTTGTATGAGGTATACAGCATAGTGGTTAGATAGCCATATTCTTTACAAAGTATTTCCCTCTATATTTCCAGTACCCAACTGGCACCATACATACTTATTACATTACTAGAGGACCAGTGCATGAAATTTGTGCAAGGGGGAGGAGGGTATGATCCTCAGCCCAGTCTGCACCCTCTCCAATCTGGGACCCCTCAAGGGATGTCAGACATTCCACTCACAATCCAGGACTGCTGGCTCCCAACTGCTTGCCTACCTGTCTTTCTGATTGCCCCTAACTGCTTCTGTCTGCCAGCCTGGTCATCCCCTAACTACTACCCTGCCAGCCTGATTGATGCTTAACTGCTCTCCTGCTAACCTGATTGCCCCTAACTGCCCTTCCCTGCAGGCCCAGTTGCTCCCAATGTCCCTCCTCTGTCGGCCTGGTCACCCCTAACTGCCCTCCCTTGCAGGCATGATCAGTCCCAACTGCCCTCCCTTGCAGGCATGATCCCTCCCAACTGCCCTCCCCTGCTGGCCATCTTGGGGTGGCCATCTTGTGTGTTGGAGTGACAGTAAATTTGCATATTACTCTTTAATAGTATAGAGGCCAGGTTTATGGGTGGGGACAAGCTGCTTTGCTCTGAAGGGTGTCCTGGATCAGGATGGGGATTCCCTTGGAGTCTGGGGCAGCCTGAGCAAGGGACCTGTGGGGTTTGCAGGCTGGACATGCCCCTCAGTGACCCAAGTGGAGGTCCTAGTATTTGGGACTTATTTATCTTCTATAATTGAAACTTTGTAGCCTTGAGTGGAGTCCAGGGCCAGCCAGGGCTGTGGGAAGCTTGGCTTCCTCCATTGTCAGGGAAACCCAAGCCTTCTGCTTGCTCTGTGGCCACAGCCATCTTGGTTAGGTTAATTTGCATACTCGATACTGACTGGCTGGTGGGTGTGGTTGTGGGTGTAGCAGAGGTATGGTAAATTTGCATATTACTATATTTTTAGATAGGATTATTCACTATATTCCCTATGTTGTACTTTACATCTCCATGACTATTTTGTAACTATCAATCTGTACTTCTTAATCCCTTCACCTTTTTCACCCATCCCCCACATATTCTCCCCTCTAGCAACCTT